TGTGGAATATGAATCGTCATTTCTTATTTGACTCTTTTCTTAGGTGAATCGACGGCCTACCTTTCTCAGTATTTTTCAGGCCCGTCACGGTACCAGTGTATGCCTCAAGGATGCCTTCACGGAGCTGGGAGACGTAGTCCACGAGCTCATAGTCCATCTATACCGGTCAGTTGTTAGATACTGCTTGTTTAAGATTCAAGGGTCAAAACACCCACGGGTTCGGCATGATTGATCCTGCCTAGCGCAGGACATTCATGGTATGGTCAAGATATGGCTCGAAACCCGGGCCAATCGCGAGCGCGATGTCACCGAAGCACGACAAAATCGGGATCTTCACGTTGCGGTTAAGCGTCTCGCTTGACAGGTTCTCAAGCAGCACCGACATGAATGGACCCGCATACTGCACGCTCCGCTCACCGAGCGCGCGCGAAATGTCGCCGATGACACCGATCGCGACCGTGCACAGCTGCGTGTCCTCGTGCGCCTTGAGTGCCGGGTAGAGGAATGGCAAGAAGGCCTGGATATATGGCGAGAACTTAACCTCGAGGGCGGCGGCCATGGTGCCCACGACGAGGAAAGCATCTTCAAGCACGGTTGATGTCTTGCTAGACTGGATAAGACTCAAAAAGACGGTCATAATTTGGTCCTCCAAAGGCTCAATGCCATCGCCAAGCTTGCGGACAACGCTCTGGATCGCAAGCAATTATCTTAGTATTAGCATCCACACCATCTTTTTAACGAGTTAATATTTAGAAATATGAACGCACGATCAAAACGCTGCAGAGGTTGCTCTGCAGCTCATTCCAGTTGTTGCGATCGTCAATGCCGAGGAGCTGGTTCTGCATGCCGAGGAGATGCTCCATGCACGACAAAATAGCGAGGGCCGTATTCGGAACTACGGTGATCGACTCAGGGCCAGCGTGCGTAACATACGACACCAGCGCTTCGTACGCAGACGTACGGAAGTTGGACTCGATGTCAGTCCTGCAATAAATTAAGTTGACTGACATGAAAGAGTAAGTCTCTTTTGCACTTACCCGTCAGTGACACGCAGTCGCAATGCCTTCGTAATACGGTGCGAGCGGGCCGCTGCTCAACGTTGGGCCTTCCTCCTCGTAGAACGAACCAAGCTGATCGCGGAGATTCATAAGCACCCAACAGCAGTTCGCGACGATTCGCGGCTTGTCTTCGAGCGCGTTCACAAGTGTGGAGATAAGCGGATGGAGGTGCTCATCGGGCTTGAGTACGACGAGGAGCAGGTCACAGATACGGCCAAGCGTCCAGGCGACGGTGTCCTTCACGAGTAAGTTCTCATCCCGAGTCATGTCGACGAGGATCGGTAGCGCCTGAGTGACTAGCAGTGTGAGTATCATTGGGTCCGGCCCATCGAGAATTGAGCCGAACGTCATCACGGCCGCCTCGCGTTGGTGCCAGTCGGCAGCCTTGATGTTCGCCTCGGTGAATGGGATCACGGCGGGCACAATAGCGTCCGCGACGGTCTGGGCGAGTAGCACGAGGCAGGTGGCCGCCGCCATGGACACGTTCCATTCATCCTCATCGGCATCCTCGTCTCGCCGAGTCAGTAAACCAAGCAGAACCGGGAGGATTTCAGGTAGGGCAATTTTTGCGAAGTTCTTGGATTCGGTCTCCGGTGCTTCACCATACTCCGCAGCCTAGAGAAACAAGTCAGATACCTTGTTTTCGTATAAACATAACCAGGTTCGGAAGGCCGAAAACGCACCTCTGAGGCCTCGATGGCTAGCTCAATTTCTTCCTCGAATACAGTCGACCAAAATTCAACGGCTTGTAACGAGATGCTTTTTTCAGGGTGTTTCATCCGAGGATAGTCAGCTGAAAGTAAGTTGTTGAGATTAATGTTGAGGTACAAAAATTCATTTGATGTTTGATGCCCGATACTCACCTCAAAGAGCCATTTTATCATAATCAGGGCTCATTATTCGGACAAGGCACTCCCAACGCGCCGACTTGCACGGGTACGGACGGGTTTTGTGTCGCCTCGCACGACTTGCATAATGTAATTGCGCTCACCCTAAGCGAGAAAAGTCAGTAAAAACGCCGAAAAAAGCGGTCGGCACATACCTCGCGCTTAAAGTTGTCGCGAACAAACTCTAAGGAATTGTAAAGAGCGTTGATGGCGGCAAGCTGAACGTCAACCGAGGTTTCCTCCTTGCGGGCACCATGAATAACAGCCGTCAGGATCTCATTAGATCGCATGCTCAATATCTCGAGTTTCTAAGCGAGAGTTAGAGCGAGCACGGACAAGCAAAAAGCCGTCTACGCACGATAGTTTCGCAAATGTACCCAATCGCCTGGAGCGTCACGATCTTGAGGCTCACATTGTCGGGGCCGTCCATAAAGCGAAGTAGAATCTCGATGATTTCTGGCCACTGGCTGTTGGGGAGCTCTACGGCAGCGATCGCAGCAACAATCTGGGCGGCGACGCCGCCGGCTTTCTGCGAGGGCGATGCAAGTGCCCTTAACACGTCCTGCTTTACCCGCTCCTTCGGCTCCGCTGGAAGGGTTAGAATAGTCTAGTTGGCGGGTGGATTCCTGAATGATGTGCTTCAGCTGCGAGAATCGGAGGAACGTGAAAGCAACAGCGAGACACATACGTGTGCGCTCAACGCGTTCTTGAGCGCGATACCAGCCGCAGCCCGGATCGTGGTTGTCTGCGCCTCGTCTGCGAGTTCTGACGGGCACTTGGCTGGAGTCGTAGGGTCCGGAAAGTGCATTCAAACCTTCAAAAGCAGATAAATATCAGCATTTTAAGGTAAAAAATAGAAAGAAATAGAAAGAAATCGCAAAAACCAGCTTACAATCGTGGGGAGCGAGCTCATCGTGCGCCGTTGATGGCGGCAAAGACGGAAGAGGTGGGGACAGAGAAGGTGGGAACAGGAATTGATGGGCGTTGATGGCGACGACGGACAAAGCCTGTGAGCCGTGTGAGATCAGCCGGCTGCAGGAGCAATAGAAGACAGAGACTTACCAAAGCAACAGGGATGCTACAGCCACCCTGGGGAGACCCTGTTTCTCGTCAAAGAAAAAGTCTTCTATTTTGAACGAGAAACGCATTCCGCGGATTCCCCACTGTAGGTCAGCGTTTCTCGTCAAAGAAAAAGTCTTCGATTTTGAACGAGAAACGCGGCGAAGGCCGGCGAGCACAGGGTAGCGACTTATAGGGAAAGCGAAGCCAAGCGATGGGAAGAACCTGTCGGCAAGGAAGCTCGCCAGTAGGCGAGATCAGAGAGTCAGTACAGCCGCCGGAGCGGCCCTGCGGGGCCTTCAGGACGGGGCAGCGACTTTCGACGTCCAGTGCAAAGACCGAGCGGCTCCTCGACGTCGAGCTGTGAGGGCGGGAGATGGGGCGGGCGAGCGCGGATCCCGACGCGCCTTGCAAAAAAAAAAATCGCGCCGCGCGGGAGCGCGATAACGAGCTGGTTTGGTGGCCCGGGGTCCAGCTGGCCCAAGTGAGGGCGGTGGCGGCTGCCGAAGCGGCACGCACGCGACCGTCAGGGTCTGCCCAGGGGTGCGAACCCTGAGCGTCTTAGGTCAGCTCACGTCAGCGTTTCTCGTTCCGAACTAAACGTTGCTTTTTATACCGAATGCACCAGGACACGCCAGGGCCTGGCCTTGAGTTCAATGTCCGATGCAAGGGGAAATTAAAAACAAGTCCATATGCCGAAGAGCTGTTTCATGATCGAACACCCGCAATCCAATATGAAAGGTATAGACTTAGATGCCGTCGAAGCCAAGGAGGAGTAGACAGCCAATACGACGCACTTAGGACTATTTTCAGGAATTGCAGTCTAGATAAAAGGGCGTATGAGCGGCCCAAGCCCACCAATTGCGGACTAGCAAACCGAGTCTATAATTGTGCCTCTTCAGAGACAGAAGACCACAAGACTTTCTTAATTTAGAAATTGGTGCTTTCGGTTTCCGCTTTAAGAATGCCCAAGATTATGAAGCGCAGGAGCACTCAAGCTGGACCGATATTGAGCCGAAAGTTAGCATGCATTCCAGCGCGCAAAACCGCCTTATATTTGGACTATTTCACGAATGCTGACGGAGATGTGCAGATAGCTTATACTGACTAGAGTTTCGTAAGTCAACGGAGGTTCGTTAAGGCCGATATTGACGGAAGACCTTACATATCATCTGATCACTTCAGGCACCCCTTACAGAAGACCTATTAGGTCGGACCTACCCACATCTGGTTGCGAATTGTGCATTACCAAGCAGAGCACCGCGATTTGCTCAGTGTGTGTCTGATCGTGTGTATAGATGGCTGCGGTATTATAGCTACGTCAGGTAAGGGGGAAAAGTGAATGAGAGCTAAAAATCAAAGAATAAATTCCACGCACTGTTGTCTACCCCGAAAGACTGTTTTTGGTACGACTGATGGCTCAACTTATTTGTAGGAATACCCGGCCCACGAAGGCACTCGCCCTTTAGCACCAGCACCAAGGACTAGCCTGAAGCCATCATTTGGGAGCCTATAAGTCGAGGCGTCTGGGGAAAGTGCGAAGGCGGCGCTAGTACAGCAGCAGAGCACAATACTCTCGTCCTTCGTTCCACACATGGCATTTACCGAGTTACGTCTCCGCTGGAGGAATAATAGGCAGTTGACTCAGCAGTATTCGAGGACTAGCCAGGCCATAGATCATCGATCATCCTCGATGGAGTACATGTATGTAATTTTCGAGAAAGCTTTGCGATAAGACGTTTCAACGAAAAGTCCAAGTCGTCGCGGCCATTTTTGCCGACGTGTTGTTGACAGATATTTGTCTGCACGTATTGGTTGCCATAACGTCCTGCATGATTCTCACCTATGGACAGATAAACATTTAACATGAGAATTGGTGCTCTCCATTTCATAGATTCTTTGCTTCCTGATCACCTCCCTCTCTCTTTCTCGATCAGCTCTAGATCGCAGAGGTTTGTGAGCGGAATCTAAAATATATTAAACCATAACACTCAACGGTTCGGTGGTGTAGTGGTTATCACGTCTGTCTCACACTTCAATGAATGAGGAGTGCACAGGAGGTCCCCGGTTCGAGACCGGGTCGAATCAGATTTTTATATATATTCATACCATGAAAGTCTCACCCCTTTGAGGTTGTTTTTGGTTGTACAAGTACATACAGGATACAAGATCTAAGTATTGACAGGAAGGCATGTGTTTATATTCTGATTCTAAATGGACAGATATCATGCTGTATTCATATCGAGCGCGAAATCGGCCATCATGTCGAGGACCTGCGCCAAGTGCTGATAGCTTAACGGTTCGCGGGCACTGCTCGCTAAAGCGCTCGCGGTGCGCACGGCATTCTTAATCTGTCGCCCATTTACTTTTCTCTCAGTGAGCATACTTAGCTCTTCTTCGGAGAAGCCCGAGCCAGGTGCTGTGTCTCGGCTGCGTTCGCCAGATGCAGCGTCCCCTATCCTCGCTGTGCGCGCCTTTGCAAGAAAAGCAATCCAGATCTGGCGCTTTGCGTCGGAGCTAAGGTCATGGTAGCGCAGCGAGACGTGTATCCGCGACTGGAAGGCGTCGTCAAAGGTGCGGACGCGGTTCGTCGTGAGGAAGAGGATCCCACAGAAGTATCTAGAAATATATATGGAGTCAGCCGGGATCGAAGTGTGCAAGAAAAGAGAAAGAGAAGGACGCACTCGAGATGCCGCAGGAAGACGGAGACCATCGCATTGCGCGCAAGATCGTGCAAGGACCGCTCCTCCAGGAATACGTCCGCCTCGTCGATGAGCACAACGGCGCCCCAGCGTTCCGCAAACCCGAGTGCGGACTTCAGTTCCTCTTCCACAGAGCCCGCGGATGCGCCGAGGTCGGCCGCACCTACTACATATAATGGCCTCCGCACCTCTGTCCGACCGACGTCAACTCGCATTTCTAACCAATTGAAACACCACCAACTCACGTTCACTAGTCGCCTCTGCCGTAAGGGTCTTCCCCACGCCCGGGTTTCCAAACAGGTTGATGACGAGCCCCCGTCCTTTGCCTCGTACAAAGTCATCGAACTGCTGCGAGGCTGCCTTCGCCGCATCAGCAGTGTGCGTTTCCACAAGCGCCTTGACGACCGCCTTCTGGTTTCCAGAAAGAATGAGGTTTGCGAAGGGCTCGTCGTTCCATTCGATCGGAGAAACATGCGCGACACCTAAAGTAACTGAAAACATGATGTTAATGCCCAGATAGGTAAAAGAGAGATGTGGAAACATTCCCACCCCAGAGTTTAGCAGACAAGCTAAATCCGTAAACGCAAGGATTAGCGACAAGTAGGTCCGACTCGCTGAGCTCTGACTCCCCCGACGCAGTGAGGTGCGCATCAGGCAGGGAAGCGGCGGTGACATTTTCCAGCAGCCTCCCGTCTAAGGTTTTTTTGACTTCGGGGAGCGTGTTACGCTGAGCGGCAGCGGCAGCCGTGACGAATGATTCTGCAATATTGAGTCAGAGTCAGAGCGAGTTTCTTAGACACGAGGAGGAACATCGCTAACCGCGGTCGATCATGATACGGCTGTTAACCTACATGATTGAGGAATCAAACGATACGTGCTCTTCATTAGCGTCAGCAGCACCGAAAATATGCGGGGTACGTGCCGTTATCTTCGATCCATTTTTAAGCATCAATCCCGGACCGTTGTATTGCATATGATGCAGCCCGCCCTGGAGAGCTTCCCACTTTCTCCCGCGCGCAATGAGCATCTCAGTAAGCTCTTGCACTCGCGAGAAATAGTGAAACGGATACGTTGCCAGACTTGTGATCTTCACCGCGCCTTTGAAATGATGGATCGCATCTACGACGAAGCCCGTTGCAATTCCAAACTTCGGGAACGATGTCGTGGTCTCTACACCGGGATGCGCGGTCGTCGACAGCGTGCCGTGCTGCACGTTGTACTCGACGTACTCGACTTTCAGCTGCCACACCAACGTGCCGCACAACGACACGACGCTCGCGTCCAGCAACCGAACGGCACGCGGCGCGCCTGTGGCCTTGCACTTCGCGTACAGCAGTGTGCGCGGGCGCATGATCGTCCAGAGAAGGTCGAACGTGATCTCGTCGTGTGCGAGCAGCGCGGCGAGCTCGCTGAGCGTCGCCGCGTACTCCAAGCGGAGGAACGAGAGAAAGAAGGATAGGTGCGCATGGGTAAGCGTGTCCGATTCGGATTTCTCTAGTTCTGGCTTAGATGAGAGACGGTCTGAGCACGCTTGGAGCTCGGGAAGAAACATGAGGAAAGTCTTGTAGTCGATCTGCAGATGGATAATGATTAGCGCGTATGCGATCGGCTCATGCAGCACGGATCACTCAGTGGCTTCGCGGTCCATGAAATACCTTCGACCTTGCCAATGACCTCTGCAGACACGTCTCTCAGGTACGGGCTCCGGATGTCAAAGTACGCCTTGTATTCCTCCCCCTCTTGGGACATGCGATGAAGAGTAAAGGCGTACTCTGCGTACGCGTCAGCAGCTACCCGGACGGCCTGGGGTGCGCGCTCGTGTGCAACGAGCCGCTGAGTCATGTGGTCGAACATCATGTCGATACACTTAGCCTCTAGACGCATCCCACGCTGCGCATCAGGGACCAGAGGAGCATCGGGCACCTCTTTGCCGTCCTCGCTCGATGAATCAAAGTCTTCGCCCTGTATACTTGTCAGCCAATGCAGAATGCAATAAACAGTCAAGTTGCTCACGCGCAGCGCAGCGCGGTATGCCCTCGTTGCCGCATCTAAATGGACGACAACACAACATCATGCCGTTGTCGAACATTAGTCTGAATGAAAGCAAAGACAGAGATATGATGAAAACAGACCAGAAGACGGCGGCCGGATAGGCCAAAGGTCTGGCTGTGAATACATACGAGAAGGTTGCGCATAGACAGAGAGAATGTCGTGGATAGGTAGCATCGCGGAGAAATGCAGAGGTAGAGATAACAGAGAACCGCTGGAAGGTACAGGGCCTTTATCCCAGTACGAGCGCCTATTTCTTCTCTTGTCGCTGTGCTCAGATCAAATCAAGTCCTGGAAGCGACGTCTGGCGAGCGCATGTATGCAGAAAGAAGACCATCTGATCCATATCAACATGTATAATTTGGCGGCTCAGTCGGACGGAAAAAGAACGTCGCAAACAGCATCAACTTCTGGGGCGCCATTGGGGAGTTGTATTAACCTTCAAGCGCGCGTCCCATGCCATACATACAGCTCCAGAGAAGGGCGATTATTCTAACAGTGACCCACTTAATACTGGATTTGCTGAAAACCGATATTGCGATGCAAGAAGACAGTAATTTAGATGAAATGCAGTTCTAAAGCAATCGTAGATGAGATGATCATAACACCTATGCATAAAATTAAATCAGCCTTCGAGGAGCACTCGAGCCGCACCGGCTCACGCACCTTCGGCGCCAAGCTGAGCACCTTCCCCCAACCCTTCATCCGCAGCTCCGCACTGACAGGCCCGCCGACGCGTGTGCCCAGCATCTCTTTTTTGTTGTTAAGAAGCACGCACGCGTTGTCGTCGAACTTGACAATACGGCCGTCCGGGCGCGCGGCGGGCTTCTTCGTGCGTACGATGAGCGCGCGGCGGACGTCGCCCTGCTTGACCTTGACGGCGGTGGAGGAAGTGAACGCGGACGCGGATAAGGGCCGCGCGCGCTTGACGACGCAGACGATTTCGTCGCCGACCCCGCCGTAGCCGTGGTTGACCTTGTGCTTCAGGACGTTGACGCACTCGACGAGCAACGCCCCCGAGTTGTCGATGACCTACGCCACTGTCCGGTGAGCGACATCGTACTCTGAGAATACATTTTATTAACGACGTACATTGAGGGTGCCCTTGAGACTGATCATCGCCTTCTGCTCGTTGTCGGACTTCGGCACGCTTTTTTCTTCCGAAAATGTCACGTACTTGGTACTATTTGGCTTGACCACGTGATGCAAACGCGTCTGACGCGTACATTTTTCCTCGCTCCAGATTAGTACTTTGGGGCCCAAGCTTTTCTTGCATACTTAATATATACGGCTATCAGACTTCCAGTGACTTGAATTAACCAGTTGCCTCTACTAGGCCAGATGGCAGCTACTGCCTTGATGCCGTTCAGGACAGGGTTGGTCTGTCGAACATCAAGAAGTCATCGATGTGTTCGTGTGCATTTCCGCAATCAATTATGGCCTTATGTATTACGCTGTAAAATATGATTGCATATTTTCCCCCGAATCCTACTTAAAGGGCCGTTAAAAATATATTCGAGCCTTAATGAAATGAACAACGTCTCATATAGTGTGACTGCCAATAAATTAAAGTTAAGATACAACCATATTGTTAATATACAGGAATAAGCTGGCTTTATTCTTTTCTCTCACTGAGGGATGCTGTTCTCAGAATGTAAAACAAAGTCCCTCTACATCCTTAGAAACGAATATTAAAATGCGTGATCATTTTGTGCTTAGAGACCAGGCCTAGCACGGCCGGAGGTCAAATGCAAGACCAAGCTGGTGGAAGCTCGTTGGCCGCACCATTCTTGCTACAACATCCATAAGTGATAGCGAGTCAGATCATGATGGCGCAGACACGTTGATTCATTTTTGGAACGCTAAAGACGTTAAAGGCAAAGAATAAGTGCACAGTCTGGTTCCAGTACAGGGACCAGAACAGCGCATTTTTAAGAGGCCGATAATTTTTGTCGTCAGTTCTGATGATATGTCTTAGGGATAATAATTAGTTGCACAGGCGCGTGGCTCGTACGTTTGTGATATTTTGGAATATCGAGACAAGCACCGTTGGACTTCACTTCGCTTGCGTACGCAGTCCGTGGACGAGATTGAGTGTGCGATCAGGCCAAATAACCGTAATCTCCCGCTTCATACCGCGTCCTGAGAAGATACAGCTCCGGGGAACCCGCATAGACGTTGCCGTCAGCAATGTACAGCTCGTCCAGCTCGGAAACACTCCACACCAGCCCCGAGAGACAGAACGCCTTGCAGACCAGTGTCGCGTCGAACCTCGCGCACCGCACGAGTCCCAGCGACCTGAGTGACACCAGAATGCGGCGCGCCCCCTCGGCGCGC